GATTTTGTTTTTAATGTACTTAAGGTTGATCTAGGGAAGACTATTAACCGAGTTGTCAAATTGGTGAATAAGTTTCATAATGCTCGAGATCTGCTCGACAAGTCTGAGCACATGATGTGTAAGGAAGTTGTAGTTAGAAATCTTGTTTAGAAGGCACTTGAGTTTGGGTCAACGAAAATAAACTGTGACGGTGCTTTTCAAGGCAAAGGTAAACGTGTTGGAGTGGGTAAAGTTTGTAAGGATTATAAAGGTTGTTTTCTTTGTGGCTTTTACAGATCATCGAATGTTGGCTCGAGTCTTATGGCTGAATGTGTTACTGTTAAGGAAGCTTAATTGGCAAGCGAAAGATTCATGGACTCTTAAGTATGCATTGAGGTAGATTGCGAACCTTTGTTAAGTGTTTTGATTTCAGATTCCTTGAATGGATGTGATTGGCGTTATGATTATTTGTTGGAGGACGTGTTAGCTCTCAAGAAGTTAGTAGGCTGTACAGATTTTGCTTTGGTCACTTGCCAAGGTAATAGTGTTGCAAATCATCTTGCAACTTGTGGTGCTAAGAGGATAGATATGCAAGGATGGCTTTCGGTGGCACTATCCTCGTTAATGGTGTTTCTTCAAGTTAACTCTTTGAATGCTAACAGTGTGACTTTTGCCATTCCTGATAGAGCTGGTATTGGATTATGTTTCTCTGTTAGTGTTCATCACTCTGTTACTGTATTGGTTTTTTTTTTCTTTCTCGATTTTAATGTGTGTTAGTTTGTACTGATAGGTTTTTTATAGTTTTGGCTATTGGTATTTGTAAACTTTTTTTGTGATTACTAAAATTGACTTTGGTTTTGGCTGAAAAAATTATTGAATCTGCAGAATAAAAGATGGCATTTCATTCAATAATTTGAGTGAGAAACACGCACACAGTTTTCATGTTTTCACTTATAATTTTGATGCTAAACAGTGGTGAAAGACAAGCCATCAGGTCATAAGTTGATAAATTAAATGCATTTTTCAAATAGCACGTGGATTGGAGCATAATTCAGGTGAGATTTTTAATGAAAACCATAAGATGAGTATAATATGCTGAACCATAGTATAAATTATAGTTAATTAATTTATTATTTATAAAAATTGTTAGTTAAAATTTTAAATTTTTAAAAATATTTATATTTTTTATTTATATACTTTATATAAGAGCCTTGATATAATAGTAATAAAAATTTTAATGTATTATTTTTTAAAAAAATAATAAATGATGTGGGAGTATAATTAAAAGATAAATATAAAAATTATTTAATATATTATATTTTAGATCAGATAAGAGTTTTAAAAAATATCTTGTACTATGGTGAAGAGAGAATATATCAAGAAGAAGCTTTCCGTGTAATAAAAAAAAAATGCAGGACATGGCAACCGCGTAAAAAGAGGATGATGGGAAGAAAGAGTGAAAGAAAGGCAAGCAAATGTGAGGAATTTCAATTGAAAGGACTTGAATTGAAAATGGGGGCAAAAAAGAAAGCAAAATGATAAAATACTTAAAACGCTTCAAAAAGCGGCCACACCCCCTACCCTTCTATGGCGTTCCGACACCCAGAACTACCTTTTCTAGATTTGCAAGCAACTGAAGTGGGCGGTCGTGCGTTGTGCCCATGTCACCAATTGTGTTCCGTGTATGATGTGCAGTACAGTCTGAGGACCCACACCCCACTGCTCATAATCCTGTGTGTATTATTCTTTTATTCCCCATATTCATACATTATCGACTCGTGTACTCTACGTCAAAGATTTCTATTTTTTTTCCAAAATATTCAAACGGAGTCTATATTTCTGATTTTTTTTTTCTAATTTTAAAATTTTCATATTTTTTTAAAAATTACTTGTAAGTTGTAACCTAGTTATTTCTTAAAAAAAAAAAAAGACACGGCTCACGGACACACAAAAATTTTAATTTTTTAGCTAAGTAGCTGTTGATTTATGGGAATAGCCGCCTCGCCAAGAGCAGGCCACGTGTGAAGGGCTCCCAACGGCTGGATCCCACTTAGCCGAACAATTAAAAAACCTGTTACGCCTGGCCGCCTTTGGCGCCTCGTCCCCCCACTACCCAGCGGCTTCATTGCTCACGCGTGTCCTCCTACGTGAGCGTGAACACTATCATTAAATATTCATCGCCACATGCCCTTTTGTGGGTTTCGGATCACCCTGTGCTTCCTCCTACTATTCATATTCATTCTTGTCACCCACTCTAATTTGAATAATTATTTTCATAGCTGTTTTAGACATTCCGGAGCTTTTATCTGAATAACATCATCTGCTCCCAGGCATGTAAATTGTGTGAATATTAAATTAAATAAAATATCAATTCAATTCAACATTCTAAAAGTGCATAAACTTAAAACTTTCTCTTTTTTTTTATATATTTTTTTACAAAACTCAAAACTAAAATGTTACCTAAATAAATTCTTCGCATTCAACGAACGAAACTTGATAAAATAAGTACCCATTTTTAGTTTTTAGTGAATTATACAAAATTCCATTCCCTCTTTAAATATACATAGAAATATGCTTTCATTTTAAAAGGTCATATAATCATTTCATAATAAAATTGTATAGTTTCAAAGACATTAATATTAATTGTACTTTTATATAACATGTATTTTTTTTTCCCAAACTAAATTGTGTCGGTTTTACCATCTGACAGGAGGGAGACGTGACGGCAGGCAGGAATTGCGCAAGCAAGCAGTTGAACAATAATAGGTTTTTTTTTTTCCTTGAATTACTCTAAAAATATTCTTGGACCAGAATAAGTTTAAAAATAGTTTATTTTTGGATGTGAGGTGGAGCGGGATGCGTTGCGGTATTACGCGAGTGAGACATAAAGAGGAAAGAGGAAGGCGTGGGGGAAAGAAGAAGGAAGGAAGGAGGGAGGGAGGGACTCGGGAGAAACAAAAGGCGAAAGCGATACCCCTCAAGTCTCCACGGATTCCGCCGACGCACAACGTGGGTCCCACCAAAAGCGGCATTTGGCGGCACCACTCTTCTGTCTCCCCTCCTACCTCTTCCCTCCCGCGGAGGACAACGAATGGGTTGCGAGACCACCGTGTCGTTAATTATTTAATTCATTTTTCTCACAGAAGGGAGTCGGATTTAAGATTGCAGTTATTTGGACGGCAAAAGAAGTACACGTGGCCTCCACCGTATATGTTGACACGCACCCGTCAACACGGAGCTTCCCCTCCGTGGGACCCCCGTCTCTTCCCCCTCAGTCCCGTGATTTGCTTCTATCCTTTTTCCCATCCAATCCCCATCGCTGCCCCTCCCCACACCCATTCGTTGCCCCCGATTTCACATCAACGCTGCAATGCACCCTACCCCACTCTCACTCCTATTTAGATTCACCGAATAATTGAATTCACTCAATGAATAATTATCCCAGTTGGTCAAAAAATCAATAATTATCTTAATCACTTTTTCCAGATATTATTTTTCCCAAATTCAAAACAATGCTCATGATTAAAACCATTATTTATGTATGTATCCTCTCTGAAAAATTAAAATTTAATATTATATGACAACATATCTTATAAACATTTTATTGAATCAAACAATTATTATATCACATGAAACGCCCATCTTGAACCACTAATCAGATTCAAATATCACCTGTACCCACTCACTAGCAATATATTATTTTATTCTAATGACTTCTTATTCTTAGTCTCGCAAATGCCGCATTTCAATTTTTCACCACCAAACATGAAACACCCATATTACTTCACCCTATTTATTAAATGTCCGTACGATGCAGACAGCGACCATATGTAATTTGATTCATTTCTATTCCCTCGTTCCCCGTTTTATTCCTCTTCTTCCACGTTAATGTACTTGCTTTCTCCAATTTCGTTCTGGCCCGCAAAGCCATTAACTTTATAGAAAGGGCGTGTGATTTGACGTCGAAATGGGAGATCATCCGCCGGAAATCACCCATGCAAATAATTTCTGACTTAGTATTTCGTATACAGTATTTGTAAATAATTTTGTTAAAATATATCAAATTGGAATTTTCACCGTCATCAGGTTCATCTGAAACCGCAAGTTTCCGCATTCCTTCAAGATAATATCCCCCCCCCCCGGGGGGTAAACTCCTTTCAAGATAATATCTTGTGCCTGCGTGATAGTAGCACCTATGTGCGTTTGGATTTTATTTGAGAAAAATTGATTATCATGATGTTTGAATAAATTTTTAAAAATTAATTTTAATAAAATTATGGTTTGAAAAATTGGGTGTTTGGATAAAAATTTTTAAAACCAAGACTTTGGGGCCAGAACTGATTTTCTAAGTATATCCAAACAGAGCCTGAATCGTCTTAACACAAAGAGTTATGAGAAATTTATTGGACGTGCATGAAGGTTTGGCCAGTTTGGTGCAGTCCGAACCATTGATTGCAATTGATTCGCTCCTTTTATAAAATAATTAAATCACCCCCACCATCAAGATAAATATTTAAATTTAAAGTAATGGTAAAAAGAAACTACCTGGATTGGCACAACTAGGGCGGCCCACTTACAAACCCAGTAAAGATCAGACACAAGTTCGCGATTAAAAATGACCTGACGTAAAATTTGGCCGGAAACCAGCTAGGCATAGACTCCACCTATATTCATCCTCATATTAGGACTAGAATAAATATTAATGAAATCGAATGAGTTTTTTTGAAAGTTCTGGAACAGATCAAGAAAATCTTCGCCAAATGAGAAAGATAACTTCATATTGAACAGCATTTTAAAATATTGTCCTGTCAGAATATCAATTTACAAAGATGCTAGTTTTCTACACGAGTTCACGCTTGTACAAGTCCAGAAGTGCTACAGCTACGATAGTTTGATTGAGCTTTGGGTTTCTTATGCGCGACTGCGCGACTACAAAGCTTCAGGCGAATCATTATTTTTCATTCCCGGTTCAGTTCATTTCACCTGAACACGAAATGTTCCGCTAGAAAAACTAAGTCCAATTCTGGGGAAACAAAAGAAAAGAAAGTTAAATTAAACTATATCTAAACTCGAGAGGTTACAGAAAGTTAAAATGGATCCATAGATATTCGGAGCTGGTTAATTAACTTAAAAAAACAGGGGATATGAAAAAGGCCCTATTTACACCAAAGATGCAGTAATAACTAATAATTAACTTTTCTTCGGCTCTTCCCTCACATAATAGGAGATTGATGATTAGATTAGATTTAAAAAAACAAAAAATAAAAATCAGCTGGGCAGGAGAAAGCGAAATCTCAATCGTCCGATGGAGGAGCCAGGTTAAGATCAAGATTGATAGCTTTCTTAGGCTGACCATCAATGACGGAGGACGAATCGGACTCGCTTGAAGCCGCACTTCCCATTTTTGTCTTAACATCGACCGGCAACGGATATGGCTGACCCACAAACTCAGCCCTACCACCAGCAGCCGGTTCAAAATAGAAAACCGGACGCATACCTGGTACTAAACCCGCCATGCCGCCACCTCCACAACCGAACGCCATGTGGTGCGGCTGAATCGGAAGGAACGGGAACCGATCCACGACAACGCCGACATCGCAGCGGCGCGTTATATCACGCTCTGAGCCTTCTCGGCTGGAGGACTCCACGGTGCTAGTCTCGCTAGGGCTCTGGTTATTTCCGTTGAGACCGCTTTCACTGGGCAGAGGAAAGTTGGTCTTAGCCTTGGGGCCACGGAATTGCCGGGCGGCGGCGTCGTAGGCTCTTGCGGCCTCCTCCGCCGTGTCGAACGTCCCCAGCCAGACACGACTCTTCTTGCCGGGATCTCGTATTTCGGCGGCGTAACGGCCCCACGGCCTCTTGCGAACGCCCCTGTAGTGAACCTCCTTGGCATTGTTGGGCTTGCTATGCTTGATACCGAGCTTCTCCTTCACAGCCATTGTTGTGTTTCGCATGATCCAAAGAGATATAGAAAACAACCACTCGCGTATTCACAAGCTTGGGTTGTGACATGAAAGTGGTGGTTATATATAAATGTGGTACGAGAAGGCAAGGAGGCGTGATTTTCTTTCTTATTTTTTAAATTGTTTAATTTTTAATCAAGAAAAAGGGCAGAGGAATGTGATGTGTGTGAGACAGGAAAAGGGCGGGACGAGGGTGGAGTCAACCAGCGGTTTGAGAGTTTGACTGCGGGGAGAGCAGCCGCCCAAGGGTGAAAGCGAGGGGGGGGGGGAGAGATGGGTAAGGTGATGACGTGGCACGCGGGATTTTCGAGACAAGCGGCGAGGCGCTTGATGTGATGCCGGCTTTTAACCTAACGTGCCGTTATTTCGGCTCGCCTTCTGCTTTCTGCTCGCCTTTTCCGTCCACTGCGTGTATAACACTACTCTCCAAATTTTTCACATATAGTTTCAATTTTAAACTCTTTTTTTTCTTTATAAAAATTTCCAACCCGGCAACGCCTATCATCTTCTTCCCTTCAGCATGAAACCAACCTTGTTTTTTTTTTGGCCGAATGAAATCAACCTTTCGAATGATGCATTTTCAAAATACTACATCTTCTGCATTTTTAATCCACTATAGCCGGCTATATGAATTAATATGATAATTCACAAATAAATCAAAATAAAAAAGTGATTGTTTATGGTTGATTGATTATTCTCCACTCTTCATCATGAAAAAAGAATAAGCAAATTATTCGAAACATACCACTTTTGATTATAAGCAAGATGCTTATTTTTTCCTTAAATTTTCGGTGCTAAGTGAGAAGTACGATGCTTTTTTTAAAAAGGAAAAGAGAAATTAAAGAGGGGAAAGACGAGCGTGTTACACACGAAAAATAGGCAGAGTTGGTGGAGTGATTGGATTTAGTTGGATAACAAAGGACCAATTCTCACAATTGTCAGCATCCTTCGTTGCAAGCTCCTCTTTCTCTCTTCTATCTATTTCATAATTTCAGACTCGCCTTTTGAATCGTTCTTTTGGACCGACAGTTCGAGAACCGGGAGTGAACCTGACCACTTAAACAGAAACACGTGTCCTTGTCTTGCTCATGACGCGTCCTCTAAGAAGCCGGTCACGCTCTGATCATCATTTGTTTCGGTGCCTTCCATCCAATTTACGTCTTGGTCCCTTCTCTTCTCTTGCTTCTTTAACTAATCACCGTGTGCCCCCAGATCACTGACCAGCAAGCTTCCCCACGCTAATTGCAACCACGCGCGGCTGCGATGGATCTGGAGCGTGGGATTGAAAGGTGGAGTATACGGCAAAAGGGAGGAGCGTGGGAGAGATAGGGAGGCAGGCGTTGCGACGTCGTAATCGAGCTGAAATTATGCGCCAAAATAAATAAAGAGATGGATGCAAAGTTGTCATTTGTGCCTAAAATGGCAACACAGATTACGGAATTCAATTAAGGGCGGAAGTTTCCTCCTTTTTGTTTCTCGACTTTTCCATTATTTTATGACATTTTTTCCTCTTAATATTTCCTCCCCCAACGTTCGGACAATGATTGCTTGTGTCTCTTGGGACTTCAGGTTCCTGAGGGTTTATATTTATTTGCTAGTTCAAAAAGTGTTTATATTGATTTCAGGTGATTTGGCCAAAAAACAATATTTATTGCAAGAACAGTTTGGAAAAAATATATAGTTAGATCTCAAAAGATTGGGTTAATAATAATTAGATTTTTGACAATTTTTTTATTAAAATAATGAGCCACAAACGCAAACGATTGCGAACAAATGAGTCTTGATTATAAGTAAAATATTTAAGTTTTGAATATAATTTTCAATGTCAATTTATAACAGGGGCTTTTATTTGTAACTGTTTTGACTAATATCTACTACTCAGTTTTGAAGAAAATCGTCCAAGCTAATCGTGTAATCCACAGCCTTTTGCTTACAGGAAATTAGCCTTTGTCATTTGTGCTAATCCAAGCTTAGTATAGGCACGCGAGTCTATAATGAATAGTAGCACCCCCTCCCCCCCCCCCCAAACCAAGAACCTCTATTGGAAATTTTTTATCCTATTTATAAATTATTTTATTAAATTTTTATCATAACTTTTTTCACTTAATCTCTATTGAATGTAGGAAAAAATAAATATATTGTTAAAGTATACTTTTTTTATTTAAAAATATAAGACATTTTTTAAGAAGTTAGATGTTCAAAAATGTAAGTCATTTTTAATCTTTGAAAGTATAATTATTGTCTTTTTTTTAAAGTATACCTATTAATAATGACTTTATATGTATTATAGAGTATTTAATAAGAATAAATATAAAAAGATAGGATTAATTTGAAAGTATATAACTACTTTATTGGGATTAAAATTTAATTAAAAATGCTTTATATTTTTTAATGGAGGGAGTATATGTTTGACAGGGGCAATTGAAAATTATTAAATTTTTAAACAGAATTAGTAAATTCTAAGATTTTTCCCAATTTTAATAAAATATATTAAAAATATCTTATAAATAGGATCAAAAGAGCATGGGATGATATGGTAACGGCTCAATGCACCTTTTTAAAGTAAATTTAATTACTTGGTTGGAAATTATTTTATCTTTTAAGGGGAGAGAAGGCCTTGTCACTCGTAGTCACGCAAGTCTATCTTGAATTATATCAAGATGATAAAATCATTTTTGTATTCTTATAATAAATAAACAAATATCTCTCGTGTGTGTGTGTGTGTAGATAATTGAGCTGTGCAAGATGCATGTGTTAAATGCATGAGTAGAGCTGGGGAGAGTGTTGATAAAATCCAAATTAATATAATTATGACTAGAGAAGATGTGAGTAAAGTTCAATGAATGTAAGGGCGCATATAATAAATAGGCTGCCAAGCAAGCGGAAGGTAGTTGAAGTCCATTCGCGCCTCTCACCTTCCAGCGCAGACACTCTTCCTGGAAATTTTGCAGCGATGCGCGCACCGCGCCCAGTTCTGTATGAGATCTTCTTCTTTTCCTTATATGTGGCCCCACACGGCCACATTTATAATGTTCTTTAAAAAAACCTCTTTAAAATAAAAAATGGTTAATATATTTTTTTCTTGAGTAAAAGACAAATATTTTGTAAAATAAGGTTAAAGATATTGTAACCGGATTAAAACACACTTGCCTGACACAAAGGCCTGGTTTCGGAGTTTAAACTGAGATCATCCAGAGTTGTTATTAAAAATAAGAAAGAATTATATTCAAGCACTACTCAAATAAATTAATCTTAATTAAAAATTAATAACAAATTTTATTTAAAAAAAATAAGTTTATCACATCCTAACAATAACTTATTTTATATTGATCAATATTTGTAAATAATTTGCTTGATTGGTCATTGAATGTAATTATCCCTAAAAATAAAGGTTTAAACAAAGACAAAAGAAACAGAATATCATCAAATATGGTGGAAGACGATTTCCCTCCAAATCTGAGAAGGTTCAGAGTCGCCGGAGAGCATGCAAACGTCATGGGATGTGGTAGAAGCTGGTGATCTCGATGAAGAGTCTTGTCCACTTGATGGATCATTCGAGGCATTCTAGGGCAAATGATGGACCGTGAAGGTGGCGGGAGCTATTTTCCATCCAGATAACGTTCTGTGCTGCAGATCCATTTGAGAAAGATCATAACCTGAATCTGAGCAGTTTTCTTTTTCTTTGAGGAGAAACAAAGGATATTCCGACCCAAGCCAGTGGTCGAGGCGAGGAGAGAGGTCAAGCATTGTCGATATCGATCTAGTAAACCTTCTTCCTCTTTGAAATTCCTACAAATAGAAGTCTGAAAGTAGAAGCTATGATTGAGCATTTTGATGATGATCGAAAAATCAGTGATTGACCTTTTCTGATGGTTACATGTTAGAGTTGATTAAAAGGGCTAGGTGGCGGAACAACGTGACATCAAAGCAAAGTGAAGAGGCGATGGGAAAAAACTCTTCTCTGTTGGGGAGAAGGATGAGAGGTTCTCTCACTAGAGTGGGAAAAACCGAAAGTCCAAGTGGTTAATATATAATTAGACCCACTAAGCGTACTAATACTATATTTTTTTTAATAAAATGTTTACTGCTAGATTGTATAGCTAGAACATGAATAGTAATAATAAGAAAGCATTTTTTTCTCTCTAACTTCTAAGTCACTTTCAATATTTTTTATTGAAATTAAAAAAGGTTTTTTTTTTGAATTAAAAGACATGTCAAAAGACTTGAAAGTATAAAGCTTTAGTTATTCACACACTATTTGTTTAGCCCATAAATAAGTCATATATCTATTAACGAGTTTATTTAAAAATATATAAGTAAGCATTAATGTTATGAGCATCATTGATCAAGCAATCAGCCACTTTCATATTCTCACGGTTGGAATAGAAAATCTCCACTTCACTGGTGAAGAAAATTAATTTTTGTGACTTAGTAATATCTGAACATAAAGGATAATTCAAGTCCCCACTAGTTTGAAGTAAGTGGATAGCTTCAAGCAAGTTAGAATGACACTGAATTTTCTTCATGTGGTATTGCTTAGCAAGTGTAAGACCTAAATATAGCGTAGATAGTTCGACTGCAATGGGAGAACTATACCTAAGTTTATTTTGAAAAACCCAAGATTCAATTACCTCAAGCATCCTAAGAGACTCCCCTGCATGTTGCAAATCCCTGACAATACACAAAACTATCAACATCTAAGCAAAGATAGCCCTCTCATGGTGGACTCCATCTTTGTTCTCTTGTGTTTGTCCTTTGAAAGACCTTGTGCTTAAGTCTTCCATTCTCTAGCATTTCAGCTAGTTGCATTTCAGTCTTGTGTAGGATTTCCACAACTTCAAGTCATTCCCCTTTTATTGTCCCTTTCATCTACTGTTCCACAGAGACCAACAAAATAGTACAAAATGTGGTTAGACATACTTGATTGTTCTTGTTTTAGAGCCAAGATTACTCTAAATATTTCTCGTTAGCCATACTTGCAAACTAGAAGAGAAAAAAGGTTTGCATATATATGGAGTTAGTAATATATGACTACACTTGTTGGGTGACCTGACAGTCACAAAGTATGTGAATAACTATTTTCTCATTGTGACATTCAAAAGAATAATTAAAGTTTATAGAAAAACCTCTCACAACTTTGAGTGAGTTAGTGAAATTCTCTCATGGAACACTTGTCAAGAAAAGTGTTTACTGTTCAAAAAAAGGCCACTTCCACAGTTTTAGCCAAACAGGCTCTATAGGTCAATTCCCAATTCTTCAAAGAAAAAGATATATTGATTTAATGCTAAAGTTTAATTAAAGGATGCTGTCTAGCAAAAATAATCATCTTGATTTCCATTGAGTCGTTTAATCATCATAATTTTTTTCACAATCCAAAGAGGAATAAATTTAATCATCTCCCTCCAATTCCAATCACCATTGTTATGAAAAAAAGTATTCACAGAGGCTCTTGGGTCCAACAAACGATGGTTTTTATCCACATACTAGATTAGAGGTTTATTTGGAGGAGACCACAAATCCCACCAAACCTTGGCATGACATCCATTACAAATTTTCCTACAGACCAAAGAAAGTTTTAAAGGTTGTTAACTATATCTAAAAATTTCACAAATATTCAATCATTTTCTCTATGAAATCAGGAGTAGTATTCACTAGAAGCATTATTGAAAGGGAAAAAATTTGGAGATTTCATCCAACCATGAAGTTTTGATGTTTATGTTCAGTTTGCTTTAAAACTAACAAACTAATCAGGGCGCTTTAGTATTTCAGCAAACTAGATTATTTTTTGCGCCATATACAAAATTGACGATACCTGACAATTCTGGGCAGACTGTGTTCGAATCCCATCCATCGAAATGTGTAGAAAAATATCAAAATATCATTGGCACTTTAAATCCCCATAAATTGGACAAGAATTCAGCGAGTCCTTAAGCCCAGGCTTTTTAATTAATATTCTCACAACATTCAATCCCTGGGTTCAAGGACCAAAGACCCCGAAAAGAATTCCACATAGGCCTCAATGAAGGAAGTAGGCCCAGGATAGTTTGACGAGAATGCACGTAACTGGAACTGGGCTGGATAATGTTTAGTACTTCTTCTCAGTTCTCAAGAACCTTTTCGCCCAACCATGTGGTCCAGCTGTCAAAAAGGACATGCCACTTGTATAACACAAGGAAACTCTAGCACCAACCTGTCCATACGACGTGTTGTTAATAGGTAGCTTTAGAAGCTTGGGGCATATTTCCTCCTCTACATCTTCACAGCATATCTAAACAGTTCACAGAGATAAGCCATTTTCACTCTGTCTCTCTCTCTCTCTCTCTCTCTCTCTCTGTGTCTATAACTGTTCCGTGCAAACACATTCACAGAGAAGATGCCGATTGATGGATCATGTAAGTGGCATTTCCAGGCGAACCAAGAGCTGATCGCAGCATCTTCGCTCTCTGTACGAAACACGGTCATCACTTTGGAAAGTTTAAGCAAAGAAGATAAAAGGCCGACCATCCCTCTCGGCCATGGTGACCCTACAGCCTTCCCCGGCTTCCAAACCACCGTCGCGGCAGAAGACGCCATCGTCGATGCCGTCAGGTCTGCGAAATACAGTAGCTATTGCAAAAGCCTCCAAGGTCTTCTTCCGGCAAGAAGGTAGCGTAGCTTGATTCTCTCCCATGCACGGCCGTTTTCTGTGTTTCCTTTTTCCATTCTACTTCTATCAACAAATCTTTTGTAACCCTAGAGCACCGAAGCTTGAAGAACGATGATCTCACTTACTTTTCAAGCTTTGATATAGAAATTAAAGACACAAAGATACAAACACAAAAGCTAGCGCAACGCATGTAGGATGCAAGAGCGTTGTTGGTTCAATTCTCTATTTTAATATATGCCTTTTTTTTTTTATCAATACTTTAATATATGCCTTGACTGAAATCAAACTCAGTCTAACTCATAAGTATAGTGATTATTTAGCAAAGACCGACTCTGCTTATTAAGTGATTGAACAACCCCTTTAACATGAATAAATGAAGACATGAAAATGATTTTTTTATTGTATTTTTATAGCCGCTACGTCATTAATTTTATAACAGAATCTCGGTGTGCAGATAAATATGTTAAAAAAAAAAAGTTACGTCAAAGTGTTAAAATTGTTTATCCATAAGCTGATATTAGATTATTAACTATAAATTAATGAAAATTTAATTAAAATATATGAAAAACTACATAAACACAGGGATGGTTAAAAAGTATTTACAAATTATCATTTATCAATAAAATCTTTAAATTGGCGGTGAGATTTGATCCATAATGCAATATTGTAAGTTGTAAATCAAATTCTTATAAATTGAACTGATATTTGTTGGTGATGTATTCACTTAAATGCGACAGAAATGATATGTTTGTCACATTAATTTTTGGTGAAAGTTGCTCTAACTTTTTAAGTATATAGATTAGTTAACTACCTTGACTATAAACGCTACATAAAGTCTCTTTTTTTTCTTCACCCCAAAGGGCTTTCCCTCCCGATATTTTTTCCCCCCGGGCCAGCCTGCAATTGCCAAGTTGAAGAGTGTAAATAACATTTTCATCTTTCTGAAGCCTAACATTTTGTCCCGTAATACGACACATTTTTAACAAATTTACATCCTAATAAATTAGTAACTGGCATTTATACTTACATTTTTTTTTTCATGTTTACTATTATTTAATAAGTTATCTCAATTAAAAAGTCTAATTAATTACATCACTAATTAAGATTTTTTTAAAAAAATTGTATTAATTATGCTTTGTGAAGTTTACCTAATATTTTTTAGTATGATATTGATCAGAGGAGTAACATAGTTGGACAAAGGAAAAATTTCAGTCAGCCTTCTTAACCAACATAATTTAAGTCAACTCTCAAAATTCTAAAATTTTACGGTACATTTAGAGGGCTGAAATGAAATTAAAATACTGACTTTATTGTATCTGGTGAACGTAAGTGTATAAATAACTTGTGTAAGGAAAAATGAATAATTGATATAAATGAAATAAAAATTATAAATTCATAATGGTGTTATATTATTAATAAGAATTACAAATTTTACTTGTGTTAACTGTTCATTTTCTTTACATGAACAATTCATGTGCCTAACATTATTAGAATAATAATGTCATTTGAATAATCTTTTTAATTTCATTTCAATTTATGCAGTAAAATATCAACATTTTTGAAGATTGATTGAAATTATGTCAAGTCAAGCGAGTTCTCTTGCACATAATTCATCCTTAATAAATTTAAGGATTTATCTCAAGTTAAAAAGTGTAGGTGTTTGTGAAATATTACCCCGTCAGGCGTTATGAAAGGAAAATAAAAGAAAGAAAAAAAAAGCATGCATGGTTTTTTTTCAACCCCAACGGAAAAAAAAAAAAAAAAAAAAGAACCCTTGTGCTTGAAACTCCAACGAATTAACAAAAACGATGCAGGGCAGTAGCAGAATACCTCTCGCGAGATCTGCCATACAAGCTATCACCAGACCATGTATTTCTTACAGCCGGATGCAAGCAAGCCATTGAATACATTACAGCAGTCCTAGCCCGCCCTAATGCCAACATTTTGCTTCCGAGACCTGGCTTCCCTGACTACAATGCTCATGCTGCGCTTTGCCATATCGAGATTCGCATATTTGATCTTCTACCGGAAAAGGGTTGGGAGGTTGACCTTGAAGCTGTTGAAGCTGTGGCAGATGACAATACTGTCGCTATGGTCATCATAAACCCTGGCAATCCTTGCGGAAATGTTTATACTCGCCTGCATTTGATGAAGGTACCACTCGGATTCATAGCCTTTTGATTCTTAAAGCGGATATGGAAAAATGGTCTAACTGTTGATATGACATAACGACTAATGTTGAGATTACATTTGTGGCATGCAGTTTCTGAATTTGACCAATCTTATTTATATCGAACTATTGGTTTTTTGTCATGATGCTGAGAGACTTGACAGAGGAGGATGTTTGCCATAATCATTACAAAAACTTATTCTGTATGTTAAGACTTGAGAGTCTTAACTCTCAAGATTGAAGATACATACATGCAAGTATCATTCAATCAGTACATCATTAGCCAGATGCTTGATGCTCTCTCCCCTGATTAAATATGGTCATATTTTTCAAGTCAGACATCATGTATTATCTATTTTTCAACCTCTGAACATCATTCATGGAATCCTAGATGTTGATGCAAATGAATATGTTCCATTCATTAGGTGGCAGAGGCTGCTAGAAAGCTTGGGATCATTGTAATTGCTGATGAAGTTTATGCTCATCTCAACTTTGGGGAAAATCCTTTTGTTCCAATGGGGGCTTTTGCATCAATTGCTCCTGTCGTCACGCTTGGATCTATATCCAAGAGATGGCTCGTTCCTGGCTGGAGAATCGGTTGGCTTGTTACAAATGATCCTAATGACATCCTAAGAAAAACGGGGGTAATGTCTTCTATGAGGACCTTATACATCTATTCATAGGTGGCTTAGAAAAACTTCTCGATGATCATCTGTGGTGAGCTGCACTGATTTTCTTTACTTCCTTGAATTGAATTCATTTGTATTTTTTAGGTGGTCGAAAGTTTAAAATGTTGTAAAATCAATACATCTGAACCTGCCACTTTCATTCAGGTTTGTAACTTTCATGTTTTGATGTGATATCTAGTTTCACATGCCTATTTGCTAGGGCCATATATAGAGCAAGCGGGATCCCTTTTGCAATTAAGAGTAAAATTACCTGTCCGACATCTTTACTTTGTTTTATTTCTCATGAATGATGAATCAATGTCTTATATTATTGGTTTTGGTCTTACATTTCCTGATGTTATAGGAATAACAGTTTTTTCTTCTATTTTTCTTCTTTTAAATAAAACAGGGAGCACTTCCTGATATCCTTATAAAGACAAAGGTGGAATTCTTTGCTAAGATTATTAGGATCTTGAGGGACACTGCTGGCATATGCTATGCCAAAATCAAAGAGATACCTTGTTTCACCTGCCCATACAAGCCACAGGGAGCAATGTTTATGACTGTACATGTCTACATCATTATGTTTGTTGTTTTATATATAGTTTATTGTATTTCCTTCTAAAGTCACCAGAAAAATGAGATTTACGAATTTCATTCCCAGGTAAAACTAAACCTAGCACTTCTGGAAGGAATTCATGATGATACGGAGTTCTGTGTGAAGCTGGCCAGGGAGGAATCTGTCGTCGTTTTACCAGGCATGAATTTAAGTTACATCTTAGTTTCCTGTGACCTATTTCTTCTCAAGTTTCTGCAAGTAAAGTACACGTGTGATCTCTGAGTAGTGTATATATAACATGCTCATGTATTGCAGGCATGGCAGTTGGATTAAAGAACTGGCTACGCATAACTTATGCTGTTGAACCTTCAGCACTTGAAGAGGGCCTTGAGAGGATTAGAGTATTCTGCCAAAGGCACTCCAAGAAGTGATTTGGACTGATCTCATTCAATTGCAGTATCAACTATGAATCAATATACAAAAGAGCTTAACAGAAAAGGACGTCGTTGGTGTGATCAGTGACCAACAGCATTTCGTTGGATCACAGATTATCATTTGCGTTAGCTGGCACTGCTTGTTCTTCATATTTAAGAACTGAGAGTTCAAGAGGAATTCTTTAATATGTGTTTTGCTCAAGCATTGGCTTTGGTATGTTTTGCTGATAGGCCGGTTTGTTTTGTTGTTTTGTTTCTTAGTTTGCTGATATAGGTTGTACTTAGGATGCTTAATGGTTTCTTAGCTCCTTTTGCTTTCTCGTCTTAATTGCTGTAATTAGTGAGTGTAATCTGTTTTTTCAATATTAATAAAATGGACTTTTGCTTGGCCATGAGGGGGAAAATTGGCGTTTGAAATGGTTGGACCGAAGAAAAGCATGAAGAAATAAGATAGATTGAGTTTTATTGTTTTTTTTTTTTTTTCACACTAACTGGTATATTATCGTGTGTTCAGTTTGCTGCTTTTTCATTTTTGTACCTTACCAGTGAAACTTTGTGATGAATAGTTCTGATAATTAGTTGTAACAATGATTTATTAGGCTAAATATTCATTTTTAATTTTTTTATCTACTTGAAATGATTTTATATAAGACGGAAAAAAATTCGTTTTTCATTGCTTCCAAAACTATACGTATTTGTTGAGCTACATTTTCCTGGGATAACAAGGTCACGGAGAAATCATACAGAAAGGGGGGGGGGGGGGAGACAAATCCGAAATAGAAATATTTACAGGCAATGGGAGTGTTCAGAATCCTAAAATTAGCGTTCAATTAATAACTTTATATGAGCAAGCTAATCAATCTCCAATTTTCTTGATAGTGCGTTGATTGAAGGATGATATTGGAAATAATTCCTTTGAATAAGACCAGTGGCTTTTATATTCGAGTCTTCATTTTATATTTTATATTATTGATTGTTAACATCAATGTATAGTTAAGCTGATACTTCTAATTATAAAGTATCCAATGCATGCTGATGCAAAGCGACATGCAAGTCAAATACCAAGCCATGCCGTGTGAATAAAGTGGGAAATTATCATCTCCGTCAATTGTAAATAATTTTCTTTCAATTATATTTTGTAATAATATAATATCTATCATATTTAATGAACTTTTTAATAAGTTATATTATTCAGTGGCAGGTTATAAAATGATGATTTACTTCTTAAATCTCATATAATAGAGGAGAATCAATTATTCTCTTTGTCAATATTGCAAGACACTTTTCTTGAAATATCATGTTAAAAAATATGAAATACATGAGTCTTTTAGGGCACTGTTAACAAAACATCTTATTAAATGAAGGTAGATATAGAAAGATTGTTTAATTTTAAAGCTATTAACTAACTTATTGAGTATACAATTTAGTTAAAAGTAGGTTATAATTCTGAACGAAATGAGTATTAATTAAGCGAGTTTGATATGGTGGAAGCAATGGACAGAGGCTGGCGTTGGAGGATCCTTCAGCTTGGTCTTTGATAATTTTCGCAACCTGCCTGTGAGTCTCATTTCCTGACTTATAAAAATGTACTTTTAGAAATCTCCTCTGCCTCTTATGCTATGCCCTCAAAATCAGCATACTGAGATGGGCTTCAGTTAATGGGCTTGGGCTTGATTCAGTTTACCGGCAAGTGGGTCTTCATGAAGCCGTAGTCCAATTGAGCCCTGTAATGACTACACGTTTTTTTTTTGGAGAACAAATGACCACAACTACAAGTTTGCTAAATTGAAAGAGATTTTTGCTCTCCGTAAAAATTATTAAAAAAAATATTTTACTTATTAACATGAGGTGTTTAGTGTTCTTTGAAAGAGAGTATAGGGATAATAATGCATGTTAACCCTATAAAAAAATATTGAGAAAAGTACACCTAGGTTTTATGAAAAAAAAATTTATTATCAAGAGATATCATGAAATTTATAAAGTATTTTTAAATTTTAAATCTTGCACGTTTATAATTTGATAACAGGCATTTATAACTTGTTATTTACAAGTTGCAAATATCTGTTGTCAAATTATAAATACCATTTATCAAGTTATAAATGTATAAAATTTAAAAATTGAGAGTATTTTATGAATTTAATAAAATTTCTTGATAATAAATTATCATAGGTGTAATTTTTCTAAAAATGTTCTCAGAGGTGAAATCCATTTATAAAAAAAAGGGAATGCGTCAGAACTTTGAAACGAGGCAGCTACAAATGGGAACTGGATCTCCTCAGTGGTCAAATTTGATCCGTTCAAATGGTCCAAATCTGACCAATACACTCATCATACGGCTATTATAAATATATCTAAATAATTTATTTTTAAATAATAAAAAAATATATTTTAAAATATTATGTATGTGTAAAAATAAGTAAATAGACTTAGCCTATTTATATAAATAAGTCTAATTATAAATTTAAGTATATTTTTTTTTAAACCAATCATACGAAAATTTAAACAGAACATGTTATATATTTCTACAAGCGAGGTTTAACTTATTTAACAAAAATTTAATTATATTAAAATAAATAAATTTGTAGATATATACAGTCTGTCTTGTTAAATTTTAATGTGATCTGTTTAACAAAAAAAATCATGTTTAAATTTATAATTAAACTTATTTTTATGAATAGATTAAGTCTATTTATTTAAAATTTAGCTTCATACATTGATATTTTTATTTTAAAAATATTATTTATATATATTTTTTTAATAATCATGTGATACGTGCATTGATTAGATTTTGATTATTTAAATGAAACAGATTTGAACGTTGAGTGACGTTGACAGTTTGGCCGCTGAGAGGATCTGCCGATCTGATACCTGCAAACGGCAAAATAGATTGCCCACTCAGAATAGTTGCGGCACATGCAGCCATCGCCGTCCAATCGAAAGTCAGACGGCACATATTTCTTGTTTTTTCTTTGATTTTTTACTAAAATGTTATCAGATACTTCTTTTTTGAAACAGGACAAACATTATTGAAATTTAAAAGCTAAAGCAATGAAACGAAAGGTTACAAAATCCCAAATAAGCTGGTTCGTTTGTTTTGCTGTGAGTTGTCCCTGCTTTTCCTAGTAGATACCTTCTCAGTTTTTTTTTTTTTTTTTGGATAAAGAAAGAAAGCAACAAGAAAGTACTGAAACAAAAAAAAAAGAAAAAAGAAAAAGAGCATAAGGAGGCCTCAAAGAGCCTGGAGCATCAAGACCTGTCTGGACATTATAGAACCCTGGAGGTGCGGCCAAAGATCTCTTTGCCAACGCATCAGCTTCATCATAGATTCACGAGGAATCTTTTGAACAACGACATGCCAATCTCTCGCCAACAATTCTCGAATTTCTGAGATTTCTCTCCAATGCTCATGCAACTCGAAATTCCCCCCTTGAGAAAGATCAACTCGACATTCCCTTCGAAACTGATACCTTCTCAGCTTTGACGCTTGGGAGAATGATCCATTTAAATTAAGTTTTAACTAATTTTAAAGTGTTAAATTTTAAAAATTTATAAATTTAAATTTAACTTTTATAATTTTATTATGATAAATTTATAACCTATTTTTTAAATTTTAATATATGTGGAGAATTAAAAATTTATTTTTCTATTTAAATTTAAAGAACAAGTTGTAAATTCATCATAAGAAAGTTGTAAATTTCATAGCCAAACTTGCAAATTTTTAGAGTTTGATATTTTAAAATTAATTTAAATATAATTTAAATTAATTGATCATCTATCTATCAATCTCCCTTAAAACAATGAGAATTTCGTTTTAGGACTATGCTTGGTATATATTTTCTAATTACACTCAAATATCTCTAAAATAACATTACAAGTTTGGAAGATTGATATGAAATTAAGTTTCATGGCAAAATAACATTATTACCCCTAATGTTTAAACAAAAATAAATAGCATATGAGAGAAGGCATAACTTAACAAGCAATATGAGGCAATTTACAAGTACTATTAGACATGCTACAAGTGATATTAGTAATTTAATAAATTATTGATAATTTTACATAGGATGAATATTGCACAAGTAATATTCCAACATTAACAAGTAATGTAAGTGAATTTATAAGTAAAATTTCACAATTCACAAACAAAATTAAGGAGATTTACATTAATTTGAAGACAAGTACATGATTAGACTTTACAAGGCATTTTACTTATGAAGTTAGTAATTAAACAAGTTACATAGTTAGGTATTTGACAAATAATATTATGAACTTGACAAATAATGTAAGGCATTACAAGTAATATTAGAGTTCTACAAGTAATGTTAGTAATTTAATAAGTCATAAATAATTTTACATAAATTGAATATTGCACAAGTAATATTCCAATCTTAACAAGTAACATAAGAGAATTTACAAATGATATTTCATAATTTATAAGTGATCAAGGGAATTTATATTAATTTGAAGATGAATACATTATCAAACTTTACAAAACATTTTACTCATGAAGTTATACAAGCTAGTGATTACACATTTTAGGTATTTAACAAGTAATATTACAGACTTGAAAAGCAACATAAGGCAATTGACAATTAATATTAGACTTTCTATAAGTGATGTCGGTAACTTAAGTCCAACCAATCCGAATTACCGACTCTACGTTAAACTCTACTCATTTTATTTATATCTATTTTTAACTTTAAAGCTTTTCAAATCATATTAGTTATTACTTTTTTGCTTTAAAATGCTCGTAGGTATGTTTTATAAGTCCTAAATATCTAATAAGTAAAATTTTCATCCCAACACATTTAAAATAAAATTCAAGTGGTTATAATTTATTCTCTAAATTCATCTTTAATTTATAAACTGTTCTAGACAGGTTTAAAAATAATCTTTACGGTTCTTAGAATTATTAAAAGTTATATAAAATTCTTTAAAATTATTTTCTATCATTCCAAAATAGTTCTAAAGTCACCGTTCAATGTCTTTATCCAGACTTAGGATCTCTCTTTAATTTTAAATTCACCTAAATTTAGTGATATTAGATAGAATGAAAAATTATAGGACACTTACTTGATATTAGAAAGTTTCAACCCACACTTAAAATATCTAAAATGTGGCTTTTCTAAAATTTTCCTCGCTTGCAACTCGCTCTCTCTTTCTTCAATTGTTCTCGGCCGCCGCGCAAGGGCTTGGGACGCTTGCTGAAGGTGAACAAAGGGTACTCATAACAATACCCTTGCATCACCAAAGACCAAGCCAATTGGTTTCAACATACATTACTATTGTTGCTGTTGTAGTTTTCTTATCTTTTCCTTTTATTTTTAAACTATTTATTTTTTTCCGTTTTCATTTGCTTATTTTCTTGTTTTCTTTCTTTCCTTTTCTCTTCTTTCTTATTTTCTCTTTTCTCTCATATACATATACATACATACATACATACATACATACATACATACATACATACATACATACATATATATATATATATATATCAGAGTTTTTTTTTACTTTCTAACCATTTTTACAATAAATCCTATATATAATCAAAATTCTTTAAAAATAAAAAAATAAATCTTAACTATATTTGGGCTCAATATAATTTAAATAATATTCAAATAAATATAATCTTTTAAATAAAAAAATTAAGATCATATTTATTTAATCCCACTCGATTTTTATGAATTTTTCTTTTCTTGAAAATATGTTTTGAAATTAAATCCTTAATATTTATCTCATTTTGAGCAAATTCTCCTTACTTAAATACTTACATGGTAAATTGAAATTTTTAATCCCACTCAAATTTTAAATTTTATTTAAGACTCTAATAAAAGAGTTTAATATTAAAATTTAAATTCTTTTATATTATCTAATTAAAAAATTTAAAATTTATGGATCTCAAATGTAATATTTTAAATTTAAATTCCTAACCTAAATTTATTATCCACTCATTCAAATTAAAATACAACCTAAAGCCTTTGCTTGTTCGAGTTATTTGATGAAAAGACGACAACATGAGGAGACAAGATTCATTAACACTTGATTTTTATCACGCACGGATATTTTATTTGACATATTCTGGAGATGCTGGGTTACATTTTATATTAAGCTTAATTCGCCGCATTTGTTTTCATTATCTTTCACCACTAGTGAACACAAGTCGCCGGCGATATCCATCACCACTCCGAGCAGTGATCTCTCTCTCTCTCTCTCTCTCTCTCTCTCTACATGTACACATATGTATATCATCCATGCACATAATCAAGCAGGGGGAGCAATAGTAAAGGGGAAGAAGGAGAACTCAAGCTGATATAACTGGAAATTAAAGAAGATGGAGGCTAATGGATCGAGCAAGTGGCGTTTCCAGGCCAACCAAGATCTGATCGAAGCGTCTTCCCGATCCGTACGAAAAATTGTCGTCACTCTGATGGAAAGTCTCGGCAAAGAAGATACAAGGCCGGCCATCCCTCTCGGCCACGGCGACCCTTCCGTGTTCCCCTACTTCCGAACCACCGTTGTGGCGGAAGACGCCGTCGTCGACGCTATTAGGTCTGGGAATTACAATAGCTATTGCACAGACCTCCAAGGTGTTCTTCCGGCGAGAAGGTAAAGGAGTTTTGCACGACCCTTTTCGGTATGTTTTCTCTTCCGTTCCATAAATTTCTGGAATCCTATAATTACCAAAGGTTGAAGAGCACCGAAACAGAAAACTTGAAGAACGGCGATCAGTGATCACTTATTATTTTCTAGAGGAGGCATAGAGACGCAAATATGCAAACAGAGGGACCTAACATCGGTCTCGTGCTCATCGCGAGATCTAGACCGATTTATATTATCATTTAAACCCATTTGAATTTGGGCTTTGATCAAACATCTTCACGTGAAGTACAAAAATTTCCTAAATTTCCAAATCTATTCTAAAAATTTTTCAGATTAATCTACATTGGCCTGAATTAACACTCTACTTGCAAGGAGCTTGGTTTTTGAGGGGCAATATATTTTGTTATTTTATTTGAAAACATAGTATCACTCCATGACCATGGTTTTTTGCCAGTTTTATTTTTGCATTTGGGATTTATGCCCAAATATTTGGGTCTCTGCCACCTTTTTTTTTTTAGAAATTCTCTTCCACTTTACTATGTCACAATTTTTATTGAATCTACCAATCAGACTAATAGTAATACTGCCTCTACCCATTTTATAAGATACTCGATTTAGTTTTATTTTTTTTAAAAAAAATATTACATGGACTTTGACTAATTTTTTATAAAATCCAAAAATCAACGAAGCACAAGTGCTTGAAATATTTAATGCATCGTGTTAAGCATGCCATAACTGTCGCATTAAAAATCAACATCAAATCACTATAATTTTTTTTTTTAAAAAAACTACAATCATCAATCTTTATAATTTTATCGTGTTTTGTTTTAAATTTTTATAATTTTTTTAGTATTTGCAGTCAGTTTTAAAAAGATTATACTGGATGACATTTACTTTTCAAATATCTATAGTTTTAGTTTTTTTTTAATATTTTTAGTTCTTAAATAATTGAAAATACTAAAAAAAATTATAAAAACAAAAAGCAAAACCTGATAAAATTATATGGATCAAAAATTTTATTTTTTAAAATCTTATCTTATATAATTGTGTAGTATATCAGATTACTATATATTTATACTTGAATCTACAATAATCTGCCATTTATTTTTTCAACAAAATTTATATATTGACATTTGCTTTTTAAATTTTTATCCATGAAAAAATTATGCAGAGCCCGCACAAATAAAATACGTTTAGGACCTATAATAAAAAAAATAGTGATATATATAAGATTTATAGTAAAAATAATAAGCATAAGACTTGCAATAAAATTATAAATTTAATTTAGATAAAAAGGAAGGAATTATACGTGCAATTAGTGAATTTACCAAAAAAATAAATTTAATTTATGCAGAGATACTCATCCTAGAATAATACACTAAAATAAACCCTCAAAACATGGAAAGGAAACGCGAGAGCTCAGATCCTTCTTATTAGATATGTTTGAGATTCGAAACATAGCATGTCTCTATTGAGGAATTTAATTGATATTTCTGCATTAATCAACCGACCAGATATTCCCAAGATTTTCATTTCTTCCGATTATTTGGAAATTCTTTTGCTTCTCGTTGAGTTACGCAACCCTTTTCTTCCCCAGAAGTTCTACCTTTTCAATTTTAGTTGGCCCAACTTTATCTTGCAAATTTCTAGTACAGATTTGCATTTAACATTTCCATCTTTCTAAAGCCTAATACGTTGATTGCACAACAAAACTTATGCTTAAGCCTAAAAAAAAAAAAATTGTGATTAAAAGTCCAACAAATTAACAAGAACAATACAGGGCAGTAGCAGAAGACCTCTCACAAGATCTGCCATACAAGCTATCACCAGAGGACGTGTTTCTTACGTCTGGATGCAAGCAAGCTATTGAACACATTACAGCCGTGCTAGCTTGCCCTAATGCCAACATTTTGCTTCCAAGACCTGGCTTCCCGGACTATGAAGCTCATGCTATGTTTTATCATTTGGAGTTTCGCCTATTTGATCTTTTACCAGACAAGGGTTGGGAGGTTGATCTTGAAGCTGTTGAAGCTCTTGCAGATGACAATACCGTGGCTATGGTCATCATAAACCCTGGCAATCCTTGCGGAAATGTTTACACTTACCAGCATTTGATGAAGGTAATACTCGGTTTCATAGGCTTTTCATTCTTAAAATGGATAAGGAGAAATGGTCTAACTGTTGGTATAACATAACAAATAATAATTTGCAGATTACATGTGGCACTTTCTTAATCTGACTAATCTCGTTTAAAATTGAACCAATTGTGTGTTTTTTTACAGTCTCAATCCGTTTGCTAAGACTTGAGATCAGTCCCGAGTGAACCATATATATAAATGCAAGCATCACCCAAATCAATATATTATTAGCCAAATATAATGCTTAATTCACGCTAAGCCCCTGCTTAACTGTGGTCATATTATTCAATTCACGCTTATATTTACTTCTGCCTTGAGTTGCGTGCCACCATATTCGAGACAACATTCATGGAGCACAAAGGATACTAAATTTTAATGCAAATGTTTATATATGTTCATTTACTCATCATCATTCATTAGGTGGCAGAGACCGCGAGAAAGCTTGGGATCATGGTAATTTCTGATGAAGCTTATGCTCGCCTCAACTTTGGGGCAAATCCTTTTGTTCCAATGGGAACTTTTGCATCAGTTGCTCCTGTCATCACACTTGGATCTATATCCAAGAGATGGCTCGTTCCTGGTTGGAGACTCGGCTGGCTTGTTAAAAATGATCCTCATGGCATCCTAGCAAAATCTGGGGTACTGTCTCTTTCTCTATGTGCACCTTACTTCTAGTTGCATGGCTTGGAAAAACATCTCAGTGACCCTTATGGTTGAGCTGTACTAATTTTTTCTTCTTCTTTGAGTTGATTTTTTTTGCATTTTTAGGTGGTCGAAAGTTTAAAATCTTATCGAGTCATGACATCTGATGCTGCCACTTTTCTTCAGGTTCGTGACTTGCTAGCTTGTATCATATCTTTTCTTTGTTTTAAATCTCACGAATGATGAATCTTTGTCTCATTTTATGAGTGTTGGTCTTATCCAAGTTCAACTAAGTAAGTACACATTGATTGGATAGATGTTAATGGTTTGACTACATGACAAATCATACATGACAAATCATGACACAACACTAGTGTGTGTCTATGTTTTTCCGCTAGAACAAAAAAAAAAAGTTTTTTTACAACAATTAAAAAATAGTTTTTACATTGGTTTTAAAGACGAAGTTGATACAGGAAAATGATTTTTTACATCAATTAAAAATCTTTCTCCATCAAGTGCAACCCACCCGAGTTTCTACTTCGGTTTTGAGGGCAACCGATGTAGAAAGTTTTTGATAATTACAAAAATACTGCCATCCTTACTTTCTACATCGTTTGCCTTCCAATCGATGTAGAAAGTGCCCTATAAATTTTTCATTTTGTACTAGTATCCATTCCTTGAGTCTTTGTCTCCTTTGTTTAGGTTTGCCATGTTTATTTCCTGATGTTATGGGAATGACAGTTCCTTCTTCTGCATTTCTTGTGTCAAATAAAATAGGGAGCATTTCCTGAAATGATTGAAAAGACAAAGGAGGAATTCTTTTGTAAGATTCTCAAGAATCTTAGAGTCAATGTTGACATATGCTATGACAAAATCAAAGGGATACCTTACTTGATCTGCCCATACAAGCCCGAAGGATCAATGTTTATGCTTGTACGTGCCTACTAGCTACTTTGTTATGCTCCCTTATAATTTAATGTATTTCCTTCTCAAGTCACTAGAAAAATGATATTTACAAATCACACCCACAGGTAAAACTAAACCTAGCACTCTTGGATGGAATCCGTGATGATATGGACTTTTGTGAGAAGCTGGCCAGAGAGGAATCTGTCATCGTTTTACCAGGCATGAATTCCAATTCTTAATTTTTTCCTCCTTAATTTGCTGGAAGTTAAGTACACGTGTCCATGGGCACTATATATAAATTTAACAAGCTTAAGTATTAAATTATGCTAGGCGTGGCCGTGGGATTAAAGAACTGGTTACGGATAACTTTTGCTATTGAGCCTTCAGCACTTGAGGAAGGCCTTGAGAGGATTATAGTCTTCTGCCACAGGCATTCCAAGAGGTGATTTGGAACCCATTCAATTGCAGCTTCAATGTGCGTGTGTGTGAAAGAACTTAATATATAAAAGCCCTTCCCTATGATGTGGGATGTAAAATATGATTATCATAAAAAAGGGCGTTGGTGTGATGTGTGAACAGTGAACACCATTGCGTTGGATCACAGATTATCATTTTATATATTTGCTCGAGTTGTAAGGTTTATGTTAGAATTAAATTATGCGTTTGAAATTGTTGGAGAAAAAAAAAAAGCTTGCAGAAATAAGATTATTTGATTTTTGTTGTTTTTTTACTGACTAGAATTTTGTCATGTGTTTATGTCTGTTCTACAATCACATTTTAAGTTTTTACCTTACGAATGAAACTTTTTTTGAGTGAAAGGGAAAACTGTCATTATTACAAAACTGTATAGAGACATACAAGAGGAAATGCCAAAACTTTACAGACAAGAGACCAATTACATCATGGACTTAAGGTCAGAAGAATCTTTAAAAGTATGGTTAACTAAGAGTTTGTTTGGTTTCTGTTCTATTTTTTTATTTTAAAAAAATTTGTAATATAATTTTTAAATTTTTAAAAATAAAACAAGATGGAAATATATTTGGTCGTGTTAATTTAAAAATAGTTTTAAAATTAAAAAATAGGCAGACAATGATGGTTGTAGGTAGTTAATGATGGTGGTTTATCATAAAAATTGGTCAAACTAATTATATTTTTCAATATTTAAATATAATATGTTTTGAAAATGGGAAAAATAAAATGAAAACAACTTAAAGATGTTTTTACTTTTAAAAATAAAATATGAGAAAAATTATAAAAATAATTAAATCCAAAACCATTATTTAAATGAGTATTTTCATTTTTTTAAAAAAAATATAAAAGAGTTTTTGAAAACATAAACCAAAACAAGTCCTAGAACTCTAATTTGCACAAGGAAAGAATTTACAGAGTAAGATAGAGAGTATGGTGGTGGTGTAGTAGTGATTGACAAGGTTGGCATTAGATAGGGTCCTTCAGCTTGGTTTTTGATAAGTGAGTTACTGTACAAATTTATTTTCAAAGTTTCAGCCAGGCACACCTCATATGCCAAAGTATTTTTTGTGCAATTTCTTCCTAATGTTTTTCATTTTAGTACAATCTCGCCCCACCGTCACCTTTTGATTGTTTTTAGATTTTTTAGATGAGATTTCTAGTTTTTAGATTTTGGGTCTTAGATGAGATTATGATTTTGTTGGGCAATGAAAATGGCCGGAGCAAGAGAAATGCTTCAATTTTGTTTCAATTGTTTCGTCTTCTTCATGACATGCTGAAGTTTTAATATTTTTTATTTCCAATCTTCAATTCTTTTTGGATTTTATCGTGAACGAGGGAGATGGGAGAGAGGGAGAAGGGTGTGCATGGAGAAGAGAGGGAGAAAGGTGTGTAGGGAGAAACGTGGGAAGCCAACAAAGCAATTGACAGTGGAATGTTTTAATTAATGGTCAACATGGTCAAACGATTGGGTCAAGTTGACATTGTACTATTTTAAAAAATATGGAGGTGAGATTGAACCCAACAAAACTTGAGGATATGGAGTGCGTTTATGTGAAAATTTTGAAGGTTAACCTGTGATAACTTTCACAACCTCTCATTTCCTAACTTGCTTATAGATATATTCTTTTAGAAATCTCATTTGCTATATCCTCAAAACAAACCAGCATATTGAGATGGGCTTTAATGTAATGGGTTTGGGCTCGATTTATTTGACCTGTAAGTGGGCCTTCATGAAACTCTAGCCCAAATTAGCCCTAAATCACTACAAGTTATATGGAGTTGGGAGAACAAACCTTTTTATTTGAGCTTTGTCCAGTGTCTAATTATATAAGATTTTCAAAAGTGTCAAATGAAATCTTCGATAAGATTGTCTTTAATAAGATAATAATTGCATATAAAAAAAATATTCTTTGAAGTGAAATCACCATAAAAAAGGGATAATTATTTCAAGGTTCCACATAGTAATAATTGACAACATCCTAAAGTTCCACTAATTACACAAATTATTCTGAGTCCCAAGACTTTTAGATGTAATTAATTTTTTATGCACATCTAAGGGTCTTAACACTGTAGAATAATCTATGTAATTGATGGGGTAGAGTATGATGTGAGACTTTGAAATAAGGGAAAATTTCATTAATGCCGCTTGGATGTGACATAATTTCAAATGAGACCTGAAAAATTCTAAAAATTCACTGTAGGGTTAGATGATTGAAATGAAATAAACTTCTTAGTTAAATAATTAAAATACCCTTCAATTATAAGTAACATTACATAACAAGCCAAGTTATAGTTTTTACAAGCAATATTATTAGAATAATAAGCCAAGTTATGATTTTTATAAGTAACATTATTATAATAAATAATGAAGCTATGGTTTTACAAATAATATTAGTAAAATAACAAGTCAAATTATAATTTTTATTATTAATATTATGAGAATAACAAGAAATTTTGCTTATTCCAATAACATTAGTTGTTAAACCTGTAATTTGACTTACTATTTAACTAATGTTGCTTATAAGAATCATAAGTTGATTTGTTATTTTAGTAATGTTAATTTTAATTGAAGGGCATTTTGATTGTTTAATCAACTTGAGTAATAAATAATAATAATTGCTGCATATATAGCCATCATTGTTCACCTTGAAGTCATAAGTCAAAAAATCAGCTCATAGATAGAGCTGGGAATAAAAGTCAAGTTTGGCGAGCTACCTATTTAAACTCATTTTTATTAAAATTTGATCTTAAAAAATTAGTTATTTTTAGATAAATTAAGTTTCAAAGCCCAACCTTTATAAATCAAAAAAGAAGCTCAGGCTTAAGCTTGGGTGGCTCGTCAAGCTTAGCTCTCTCTCTGTTTACTTTTATTGCATTTTTTTCCTCTAAATGCATTGTCCGCTCTCTACTGGAAAAAAAAAAAAAAAGAAGAAGCTAAGTCACTCACTGGACTCTCATTCTCCTTATCCAACCACACCGCCTCTTCAACCCACGAAGGCACCTCATCTCATATACAATACGAGATCTGCAAATTCAGACTTCCCCTTGAGAGTAGGTCCACACAGAGATTTTCAATTCGAGGAGTATGATTCAAGCGAACCTCTCAACTTCTACTCAATAACCTTTCAATCTCTGCCATTTGTCAGTCAACAAAGCTATCATCTTTCATCTTCCCCTTTAACTGATTCACTAGCTCCAGCTTCAAAATATTTGTCACCTTGGAATCTTGCTTTTTTCCCAAAATGATTGCTGCCTTATAATTTCGATAAGTAATGATGCTTTTTTGCAATTTCGTCCTTAATTGATAACAGCAATCATCTGTTAAGCTATTTTAAGTGCTCATCCTCTGTGAATTAAAAGTATTTTAGCTAAATGATATTAACTCTACTGCCATCTCTATTTAAATACTATAAGACATGTTTAATTGAATCATACCTTTAATAAGTTAGTTAACTGTCTTTAAATTACACTCTTTTCATGTTTATTCTTATATAATAGGGTATCTCCATTAAAAAATCTTATCAATTATACTCATAATTAAGAGTCTTTTTTAAACAATCTAATTAATTGCATATTAAAAGACTTAAAATATCTTTTATTTTTAACATAAAACTTTATAAAAATGTTATATAATATAAAAGGGGAGAGAGAGTATAATTTCAGCTAGTTAATCGCCTTTTAATGCTATATGCATAACCTTGAATAACCTTTAAATGGTGATGGTGCAAACCAAGATCCAATTTAGAGAGATTACATCATTTTTTACTGTCACAGTTATGTTCCAAAAAATATCTCGGGCTTGGTGCGTCTAATATGCTGGACAAACATTAATTTCAGATTCTTTTCATTAATTATATTACGTCTTGAAATACTTAAAATACTTAAAATATTTTATATTTTTTAATATGATTTTTTAAGAGAGAGAATATATATATATATATGCATATAGAATTTGCCAACTTAATAATATATGCGCGCGCGTAAATAAATGGAAAGGCAAAATAACGATTTTATTTAACACAAACTAAAGTCTTTTAATTATTAAAGTTGTCTTTTAATAAAATAAAAAAAAGTAAACTAAAGTCTTTGATTGTTCGAATTTTTTAATGAAAGGATGCATGACAAACGCAAGGACAAGAATTGTTTAATCACGGATTTGGATTCAATACCTATAGCAATCACAAGCATCCAATACCTGCCTACACATGTCACCATCTTATGCTTTCAAGCACATCAATGATTCTAAGAAGTATTGTACAGCCACGTGCGTGAAACTCCTTATCCTCCTCTCTTAAATAACAATCTTGAAAATTAGAGTCAATGATGAACAGAGCATCCATGAAGACTCAGTCCATTTTAATAAAATTTAATCACTACTGTCACTTCTCCTACCCATAGTTGCTCAGCCCACACCATGTGACCTTTGACTTTGGTTTGACACGACTTAGAGTTTTCATCACCGGCATCCACAATCTGTGTCCACTGGGAAATGCATTTCTCCCCGCCGCCACTTTTCATAAGCGTCGAGAGCTCTTCATTGCCAGTAAGGCAATCTCGTCGTCCCACAAGGGGTTATTCAACTGACTCAACGGCAAAGTGAAACATTAGCACTTCTACAATAGGTAGGAAACTTCACCGGGTAAGCGAAGTAGTGAAATCCCAAAGCTGCCCGTCTTCTAGGATAAGCTTCACATTCGGCACCTGCACCATATTGCTGGAGTTGCAAATATAGGTGCCTAATATTTCAGGCGAGAAATAAGGCAAATAATGACAACATGATGCTGATTAAGAGAGGAGGATTCAGTGTTTCTCAAATATGGCCATTCAAAACTTAAAATCATTGATTTGCTTGAAAACATCGAATGGTGACACGTGTGGACAGGTATTGGATGCCTGTAAGTGCTACAGTTATTGAATCCAAATTCGTTTAATTACATCTCATATAATTGATTTCCCATTGCAAGTAATTATATTACGTCTCATATAGTTCAATTCTCTTTCAACAATGATCGCACTCGCTCTCTGTGACACACGTGTGTGTTTTTTTTTTTTCATCCACGCACACATTACCAGAATCAGGCCTGGGGTTTAACTACATCTCATATAATTGATTCCCCATTGCAAGTAATTATATTACGTCTCATATAATCCGATTCTCTTTCAACAATG